AGAGCTACAGTGGGTTTCAGCCCTATTATCCATATTTAAAGCTACATGTTTAAATATCATCCTATATTCAGTAACTCGCAGTTAATAATTTTTTAAACTTGTTCTAACACTCTGTTTGCAAAACTTTCAATGGTTTTCCTGAACAGTGCATGTAGGACCTATGTTGAATCTCTACAAAGTTAGATGAATTGAGGTTCCCCACAAGATTCTGGACTGCAGACACAACTAGTAGTTGTCTAATATTAAACACTATGTCTTTAATCGCTGAGTTGTCTACTAGTAATTGTGCAAAATAACATGATACCAATATAGAAGGAGTCTACTTAGGCTTGAAGGATTCAGTTTTCTGTGTCCAAGAGTGGAATGGATTCCATGACTTTTTAGTTCTGGAGGAAACCATAAAGAAGGCAGGAAGGACATTGAGAGAGAATGACCGATGACAGGACATTTTTATTCTTTTATTCAAGTTCTTCCACAGGCTATAGTCTTGTTATCCTCTTCTCATATGAAACATGTTTAATGATTTCACTGAAATTACTTTTAACCCTTCCTGCTCAAAAAAGAGTAGGGATGTATTTAATCAGGTACAACTGAGGCTGCTTATACTAGTAATTAAGGCTCAGGAAATTACCCAAGCCTTAAGTTTCAAGAACAAATTCTTTTCCTTTGCTCTTCATATGTCATCTACAGTAATGCATGAAAAAGTCATGCATACTGTTTAAAATAGGAAAAAGAAAACAGTTATATATGTGTATTAGGATTCTCTAATGAACAGGACACAAACACCACATGCACACACACAATAATAAAAAGGAAATGTAATAGATTGGTTCATAGGACCAGAATTTGATTTTCATCTGAGGCTGGAGAGCTAGTGAAACCAGTAGCTGATCAGTCCAAGAGCTGGAGCTTCAGAAAAAGATCCAGTGTGCGGCCTCAAGGAAAGCTTGGACACTCCCTGGAGAGTCATTGGTCACAGTCTGCTTTGGAAGTGAAGGAGCCAGATTCATGTCTTCATAGGATCACAGCAGCAAGCCAAGAACCCTCTCAAGAAAATTTGAGCTTACATCTGCATTGGTTTTCTAGTTCTTCCACCCCTCTGTTCTCTTTAGGCCCCTGGCGTGTTACCCACATATAGGATGGTTCTCCCCCTTAGTTTGCTGTCCCACATGTCAGTCATTCCTGGAAACACCATCACCAACACACCCAAAGACTCTTAATTTTAGGCATCGACTAATCTAATCAAGCTGGCTACAAAAATTAACCATAACAATATGGCATTAGAAAGGTAAGAATAGTGTATAATAATGCCACTTGGCCAAGATGAATAAGGTATACTGTGTCAATTACAATTTGTATAACTTATAATGTAATTATTTGAATGAAAAATACTTTTTTTAATTAAAAAATGTAATAAAAGACAAACAATGGTCCATATTAACTTATGAAAAAGATGCATCACTATTTTCATTATGAGAATTCAATATAGACAACTATTAAATCTGTATTTAAGTAATTTTAATTTGTTTTATCTATATAATATAAAGATAATAAAATAACATGCATCTTTTACATTTTTTATAATGATGATTAATATTGATAAAATATTAATGCTGATTTCATGAATCATATATGAATTTACTTATGGAATACATTTTCAGGATTTTTGTAATTCTTTTTCTATAAGCTTAATATAATATTCAATGTCTATAAGGAACATGTTACAAGGAATAGCAATAAACATATTACAGTACTTTTACTACCTAAGAATTAAAGTCTTACTAAGAGCACCATCCAGAACAATTTCTTAGTTTTACAATACACTATTTCATTTTGCATATTTTATTAATTTCAGTTTTAAAAATTTTACTATATTCGGATAGTCTTAAGACACATTCCTGAAAAAATATTTACAAAATTCAAATTTGTTAGAAAAATCATTTCACTCAGTGATTATGTTGTTAACCGTTCCTTTCCTCTGTGATATAAGTATACCAGTTACTATATCCATTTGGCTATTGTTTGAATGCTTGCATTTTCCTGATACTGTTGTTGCCATTAATTATACTCCTGGGATATGTATTCAGGAGTTTCCCCAATAGAATATCTAGGAAAATGCATGGATTTTTGGCATAAAAATACACTACCACACTAGTTACTCTTCAGGGTAAATTTATAGATTGTCTCATTGATTCATATTCAATCATACCTTTGTACAAGTTTTGTCAAAATTTATAATATTGTGTCAAAATGCAAAGTTAAAAGTTAATTTACTTTAATTAAGCCATATTTCTTTAAATGGTAATGAGACTGGGAAATTTTTCTGTGTTTATTTGTCATTCATATTACTCTTCTGTTCAATGTAATTAATTTTTGCCTATTTTTACACTGGGCTGACACTTTGTTCTTCTTGTTACACTATTTTTTTATATTATAAATGCAAATTCTTTGTTAGTCATGTGCTACAAATATCGTCTACCATTTTGTGACTTTCTTTCTGTTATTATATGGTGATTTGGAGGAATTAAAAAAAATAAGGTCACTTCTTAAGAAAATAATATATTTATTATTTATTTATTTTTATGTAGTGCTGAGGATCCAGCCCAGTGCCTAACATATGCAAGGCAGGCACTCTACCACTGAGCTACAGCCTCAGCCCAAGATCACATTTTAATATAATCTATCAATGCTTTTTCATGATTAATGCATTTTGTGTTTTAAAATCTTTCATGTTATATAATGTCACGTATTAATACTGTTTTTTTCCTGAAATATGCATTTTTTTAAATAAAGTTGTCAAAATGTGTTTTATTTTTGCATGTGTAAAATAAGCTACACTTTATTATTTTGTTATTATTATGATGATGATAACAAGTTGTATGAAACCACCTCCTGATAAACTTATTCTCCCCCTGCCACTTTATGTAGTGCCCTCATTTTTTATCCCCACATTTCCATTTGCAGTGTGTCTGGACTTTGTATTATGTTTCTGTTTGTCTCTCCAGTGGATATGGTGATAGTGCCTTATGTTCTAATATCATATGACACGTTGGCAGAACACAGAGCAAGCTTTCACCACGCTCCTCTTCTATGAGTCTAAATGGCCTTAGTGTGTATAAATCTTAGAATCAGTTATCAATTCCTATGGACAATTCTCATTGAATTTGTACTATATTACATTGAATGTACACATGCGTCTGGATAGTTGGTCTGAACATATGGTATTTTGTCTTTTAAACAAGAGACATAATATATCTCTTAACATTTTTAATAATTTTAGTTGTTGGTGGATGCAATACCTTATTTTTTACATTTATTTTTATGTGGTGCTAAGGATTGAACCCAGTGCCTCACACATACTAGGTCAGCTCACTACCACTGAGCTACAACTGTGGATGACTTTTTTAGATCTTCTTTAATGAAAGTAAGTAAAGTGTTACACATATAGATATTTTTACATATTTTATTAGCTTTATTCTTGAATTACTTCAGCTGCTCTTAATTAATTCTTGTAGTTTTGCCACATTAAGAATAATATAAGCTGTATTTCATTGTCTGTGTTTAGGCTTATGGATATTACATTTCATTTCTTGATTTTTGTAACTGTTGTTGAGTGGTTATGTACACACATTTTTTTACTACTCCAAACCATTAAATTAATGTATAATTTTTATGTATTAAAAATTTCCTACTTTTCTTCTCTATCTCCCTCTTTTTTATTATTGTTGAATTGCATAATTATTCTTAGAACTAAATGGATCCAGATAGATGTTTTTAATACATCAGTGCAGTTGACTTACTGTTAGTTCTTTTAATCTGTTGATATATCTCTCATTAGCAGGAATACCCAGTATTAGTATCAGAGTTTTACAAGATACTGATAGCAAGTTGTGGAATACTTCCCTTTTCTCTGTGGACAAGTCTGACATTAGTTTTTGCTTTGATTTTAGGTAAAAATATTCAGTTAACATTTTTCTCTGTGGAAAAATTTTCACTCTAAAATTTATTTTCTATAGGTATTATTTATATTATCTATTTCTTTTAGATTTCTCTGTGGAATTTTTTACTATTATTAACATCTTCTGTATAAGTATTTATAAGTCACTTTTTCCTGATATTGTTAGTTTTCAGCTTCTCATTTGTGCTTTGATGAATTTCTCAACTTCATGTCTTTTATACTGATCTTCTTAATGTATTACTTCTATGTTATAACTTTGATTTTGTATTATTTTTAGAAGATGATAGAAATATTAGTCATCAAAAAAGAAATAGAGTGCAAGTTATTGAGAGATATATTCAAATTTTCTATAATTAATTCTAAATCTCTAGATTTGACATGTAAAAATAATACCAACATTTATCTTTTCCCTTAGACCATAGAATTAATATGCTCACTGAAAAATGAGAAGGCTAAGAATAAGACATATTTAGAAATATTGGAGATAGTATTTTGAAGTTTACCTGTGTTATATGTAGATTCCATGCTAAATTCTGATTTGAAGTGTTCTTTATTTTTTCCTGTAACTTAACATTATGTATATTCCCCTATAAAAAGTAAACTATCATTTGTGTAAAGAAATTTCCATTTCTCTGAGTTTATTTAGATTGAGAACTTCAACTTTTTAAAGATTGTGATTTTTTTAACAACTGCTGTGCTTTTCTTAGATTAATGATGAAACCAATTGTTCATCCCTTAGACTCTGACAGCATGCAATGAGTTCTGACAACTTTCTCCCACTCCAGTTCCTGAATAACATGTAATTTCCTTGATATGAAAAAATATCATTTTAGTATTCATGTCATGACTTGGTGTTCATTTTTCATTTTTCTGTAAGTTAATGAGTTCTAGCAAAGAGTGCCTTCATAAAGTTGTCTTTTGCCAAAAGTCCTGCTACAGCATATGGAGCTAGTGACAAGCCACAGTATTAAGGAGATTTGTTTTAAACCAAGCCTCCAAAGTGTGCATGGAAATACTAAATACATCCCTGTGTGTTTTGCAGACAATCCTGATTTGTTGAGCCATGTCACAGTGGGTATTAGAGTTCTGGATGTCAATGACAATCCACCTGAACTTGCCAGGGAATATGATATTGTTGTCTGTGAGAATTCTAAGCCGGGCCAGGTAAGTTAATTGTTTCATTCCTATCATTTAAATGGAAGAAAAATAAGCAGCTTTATTCATATTATTCATAGGTATAATCCCCAAATTCCCCAGTGTAATTTTTGTACTTAGTGCAGATAATTTTATAAAGCTTTATTTTAAGTACCAAATAGATTTTTGGAGAGTCATTGAAAATAAATATTCTCTGCATCCTGTAATTCAGAACACTGAACTTATTTGTGCACAGTCCATTCATCATGCCAATTAAATTACATTGAGTGCTTTAGGTATAGCTCTGCATTAATAGAGGAAGAAATATTGAACTCCCCTGTCATAATGAAGCTTAGAGACTGTACTGGGTGGACAGGCTACTTGCTCTACTGTAGAGAATCCAAAGGAGTGACATAGGATGATTGAATGAGGTTAATATTAAAAGTTGTTTTAGGTTGAACAATGTGAAGAGTCGATATGCACTAATAGGATGTAGACAGTGAAAAAAGAAAATTTGAAGGTAGGACATGGGGCTGGACTTACTGGGGCATTCATTTGAAGTAGTGGGGACACTGAAGGAAGGCTAGTGTAGCTGTGGCACACAGAGATGGGGGGAGACTAGAAAGGGAATTTGAATGCATCTTCTCTGCTGTATTAAAAAAAAAATGCCGAATCCACAGGTTATAACAAAAAGGTATTTATAACCTCACAGTTTCTGTAGATCAGACACCTATGCATGGCTTGGTTTGGCCCTGACAGGGTCCCACAGTATTGCAATTAAGATATCATGCAGGGCTTTTTTCTCATTCAAGACTTGGGGATCCCATATAAACTCCTGTGGTCATTGGCAGTATTCAGTATTTTTTTTTCCAGCTTTATACCTAAGTTTCAGGGTTTTTCTTAGCTGTTCAAGCCTTCTCACAGTTCTAAGATGCCACCCAGGGTTTCTTGTTATATAAACTCCCACAATATAGCCACTTACTTTATGAAGCAAGTAAATGGAATTTCTTAGATTAGTCTGCTAGCAAAATGTCTCATGTATTATAATGTAATAAGCTAAAGATACATTGATATTGTTGCATATTGATGCATATTTTCTGGTCAAAAGCAAGACAGGTTATATCCTCTTTTATGGTAAAGGAATTGAGGAACCCATTGGTTGTGGGTACCATAAAGTCTATATGACACAGAAAAATCCAGAGAAGTAGAAAGGTTCTAAGATCATCGGAGAGAGACAGATTTTGTTACTGTCTTGGCAAATCAGAATGGGCATATCATCCAAAATTACTTTAAATCATTTTAAAACTGAAGAAAATATAGTCAAAAATGTATTGCTTTTTATATTTGTGCATGGAGAACAATCAACAGTTAAAATGATCATTACTTATGTGATCAATACTTCCAGAGGATGGAGATAGATAGATTAATAGGTAGACACACAAACAGATAGACATACATACATACATCAGGAAGCACCCAGAACCAGAAACATTTCAGAGACCTCTGACCAGCAGCATGAGCAGCAAACTTTTATAGGTCAAACCGAAGTAGGTAGAGAAATCTCTTGATTGGCTAGAGCTAAACAGTTGCCTTCCTTCTGCAGGGTCTGATCAATTTGCTGCCTGTGAGGGGCTGAAACTCAGATATTTGTGATTTCCTTAATTCAATGAGTTGAGAATTATAAAAGTAAGGTTAATGATTCCCAGTGTTTTGGCACATGCCCATAATTCCAATTACTTGGGAGGTTGAGGCAGGAGAATTTTAAGTCCAAAGCTAGTTTCAGAAACTTAGTGAGATCCTATTTCAATATAAAAAATAAAAAAGTCTACAAAGATAGTTCAGTGGCATAACATATCTGTGTTCAATCTGCAGTACTGGAAAAAATACAATTAATGAAAAAAAAATGCTAAATATTGAAATTAAAAGTTTAAATTTAAAAATACAATAATTGAAATTGTACCTCAATTGTTGATAATAACAGCAAGTTAGACATAGTTTAAGAGAAAACAAATGAAACAGAAAATATGTCAAACTTAATATCCTTGTTGAAGAATGGAAAGGAAAACAAAGAAAATATAAATAAGAGTCAATATATGGGACATGAACATTTAACATCCATTATTCAATTCTCGGAGTCAAGTAAGAAAGAGAAGATGGGACAGAAGCAATATCTGAGATAACAGTATGGAGGTTTTCTAAACAGAGGGAAAATACCAAGTCAAACACTCAAGTAGCATTGCAGAAAACCAAAGAAACAAACTAAGCAAGCTTTCCAGAATGATAAAAGTTCCAGGTATATTCCAATAGAACCTCAGAAAATCAAAAACATCCAGAGATAAAATAAAACGTAATACCAATTGAAGAAAGTATTAGGGAAAAACTCCAGGACCTAAGGACCAATATATAATCTTAGATTTGACACCAAAAAGTATGACAGACGACAACATTGGTAAATTGGACTTCATTATTGTTGTTGTTGTTATTTTAGTCTGTGAAATAACCTGTTACCAGTATAAAAAGACACATTACAGATTTGAAGAAAATATTTAAAAATAATGTATCTGTCTAAGAATTAGCATTTAGACAATGAAAATATATTTTCAAAATTGAACAGCTACAATTTAATAACACAATTTGAAAGTGGGGAAAATGTATGAACAGACATTTCACAAAAGATATATGGCAATAGGAATGTAAAAAGTTGTTGAAAAGCATTAGTAATTAGGTAAATATAAGTTGAAGACACAGTGAGTGATCATTACCTTTCAGAAGAGCTAAACTTTAACAAATGCCTGTGAGATGTAAAAAAATTAGATCACTCATACATTGCTGGTGGAAGTGCAAAGTGGTTCTGCTTCTCTGGAAAACATTTTGACAGTTTGTTAGGAAACAAAACATTGGAATTGACACACAGCCAAGCAACTTCGTCCTCAGGCATTTCACCCACATAAACGGAGACTTTTGTTCATACAACACAGTTTACATAAGTATATATAGAACATTTATTTCTAATATTTTTCCTTTATACCCACACATAAATACTCTTCTCAGGATGAATTACTCTAAAAGATTAGGGGCAATGATTATAGCAATTTATAAACATTTCAAAAAATCAGAAAAGGAAGGAAATATTTTTGTACTCATTTTTAATGAATATGTAAATAATCTATGATGTCATAAACATAATTTATGACAACATAAGCATAATTTTAGTATCAAAAGCTGAAATACCATCTGACTTTACATCAATGACCATATATATAAATATTTCAAATAAAATATACACAAATTAAATAAACCAAAAATAGTTACTTAAAATCAGTGGAAAACCAAAGCTCAATAGGTCACTATAAAGTATTTAACAAATTTCAACACCCATTATTAATAATAACAAAAGCAACAACAATAGTGATAATGCTGCTAAATACTGTTTCAGTTTTTTATGTGAAATTGACACAATTGCTGAGTACAGCATGAAAGTGAAGATATTACTTATATTTTTAAACTATAATTAGAAAATAAATTTCTATACTGTATTAGTTAATAGAGTGTTAACAAACAAAACAGCTAAGAATAAATGCTACCATTTCAAGATGCAATAAGTCCTTACAAAGATCAACCTTTAAATTTATATCCTCAGTACTTCCTCTTTTGCTCTAATTAGGGCAAGCTATATTCCATGCTTGTATGTCAAAACATACCCTAATGTTATGTATAAGTAAGAGAAACTAAGAAAGGTTGAAATATTAAAACAAAACAAAAAAAAAGCTTAGGTCCTTACCCTCAATGAATATCTCATTGGTTTGTATGTCAGAGATCTAAAAATTGGTAAATTAAATTTTTTGAATATGATATAAAGAATCAAGTATAGGGACTGGGGTTGTGACTCAGAGGTAAAGTGCTTGCCTAGCATGTGTGAGGCACTGGATTCGATCCTCAGCACCACATAAGAATAAATAAAACTATTGTGTGCACCTACAACTAAAAAATAAATGTTTTGTTTTTTTTTGTTGTTGTTGTTTTTTTAAAGAATCAAGTATAGGTTAATGTTCACTTCAGGAGTTCTTAGACATTTTTCTTATTGAAATATTTAGCTATGTATAAATAAACTGTTTTTCTCCCAAGATCATTTCAGTGCCATGTATGTTCTTGTACCATGATGCAGCTAATGCTTGCTGGTATATAGCCACCATTGGAGACTGCTGAAAATCTGAGCAAATGGTATCTTGCCCTACCTCTTTTTTCAGTTGTTACTTTTTTCTGTGTATTTGAACAAATGTTTCCAAATTTAGACTATTGGCTCAGTTTTCTGGCCTGTGATACTGACTTTGTGGGCCCACCATCTTGGCTACTTCTGTCTCTGAAAGTTCACTTTATCATTATCTCTAGGACACGTCCTTTCTCAAAGTTACCTCTCTAGTTTGAGTCTTCTGTTTTACTGTTCACGTTGATGGCCTCAGCTATGTGGCATTTCTGAGAGAATTTAATATAGCATAGAAAAGTGCTGTCTTCATCTCCAAAATGAAGACAATTGTCAGAATTTTAGGGCTTCCCTAAACCTAAAATTCTATGAGTTTATGACTAAATAAATTTCAATTTTTTTTAAAAAAAATATAAGTTACATTATTACATGAAAGCCATCATAATTTTGGGAAAGAACTATGCCATAACCTGCTTATCTTAGTTAGTACTCACTGAACATGGTGTAGTTATTTCACAAACCATTGTTTGAAATTCTTCACTATTCTTATTCTGCATCTTTCGTTGGATATTTATTATTGGTTTTAAGAGAGCTATCACAAGGCTTAGCACCTCTAAATTCTAATATATTTTGATAAAATTTTGCGGTTACTATTTTAGCCACCAATTTTGCCCTTCAAATTTTAGAATGTTCACATGTGAGTATAATTAGATTTTTGTGTGTGTGTGTGCTAGAAATTGAACCCAAGAGGGGCACTTTTTATTTTTATAATTTTTATTTTTATTTTGAGACTAGGTCTTACTAATTTGCTTAGGACCCAATAAGTTGCTGAGGTTGGCCTGGAACTTACGATCGTCCTCCCTCAGGCTCCAGAATTGCTCGATTGTAGGCATACACCACGATCCAGGCTACAATTATGTTCTTTGTATTGTTGCTTTAACAATTATTTTTAACTTTTTACATCAAAATGAAGTTGTACTTTGATGTAAAAAAATCATTTTAAAATATTGCTTGTGACAGCTATATTTAAACAAATCATTACCAAGATATGTAGCTTTATTATTAAAACATTGCAGAAGAAAATGGTCTGGACTTTTCTAATGTTTAATTTTATAGACTTTGAATCCTTCAACCTTATGTTAACAGCATTTTTGGAAGAAATGTGTTTTGACTTCATGTGTTTTGATGCAGAGTTGGAATAGGAAACGGTTTAAACAATGATTTCTGAAATAAGATTTTAAAGTGGGTTTGCGTTGCCCAACTGTACAACAAATCTTCTTTCTCTGACAATGGCTTTCAGAGTCGCAGATATTTCTATTATGAATGCTGTACATCTAATCCATCACTGTGTTGCCATGGCAAAGAGATTGGCCTTTTATGAAAGTTACCACCACATACAACAACAGACTTCAGGTCAACTCAGATGACAATGTAAACAGTAAATGATAGTTCTCAGAGTTAATGTGTTTTCCCATTCTGGAAAAAAAAAATCTTTTAAGTACTTTTCCTGAAGTAATATTAAAAATAATGCCACATGTGCATGAAATTTGAAATCAATTCCTAAAGTAGAGTGTTTCTTTTAGGTGTACCAAATATACCTAAGTGAGAAACCTTAAATAAGACAGTCCTTTCTACTATATGTGTTAAGTTTTATCTGTGCTCTTTTTATTTTTCATTAGAAAGAAGCTCTGAAAATATTACATGAAAATCATTTTATTATATGATAATAACTGCTGCTACTTTACATATAATTTTATCAACTATGTAACTTTGTTTGAAAAAATAAGCCAGGTAAATAAAACTTTTATAAAGTATAAATAAGAGATAATTGAACTCACAGAAATTCATATTCTTATTTAATAAATTTATACAGAATCTCTTCAATATTATATTATAAAGCAAACTCATTGATTAATTTAGAAACAATGTTGTATATTCCCTAGAACAGACAGTATAGTACTTAAATTTATAACACTGATTTTTATTTCTAATACAATACTCTCACAGTATAGGATTGTGGAAAATAAATTTTAAAAAACAATCACATTTACTAAGATTATTATCAATTTATTTCCGGCTTATTATTTATAAATCTGAACTATCAATTTGATTTTCCCTCTTTGACTTTGAAAAGTAGACTAAATGTGTGACTCTACATCTGTTACACCATTCTAAATAATCAAATTATTATAATATGTATTAACTAGATCATGAGTATATATTAGGAAATTTTGGGGTGATGTTCAAAGAAATGAAAATCAAATATGAAATTTTAAGGCATTTCAGGTTACAAAGTAATTTTACAGAGAGCACAGGTATCACAATGTGCATAAATTACAACTCTGGTAACAGAAGATCCTGGGTCATAGAGAATTGGCAATTATCTAGGTATCTCTCAGAGATATCTCTAAAATCACAAACATGCAAATTTTCCATGTACATTTTCTGTAAAAATTCTGAAATAATAATAACAAAAATCCTGCTTTCTTAATGAAATGAAGAAGGCAATTCATAAAACAGAAAAGTTGAATATGATATCTCAGACCAAGAGAATATCTTAGGATTCAGGACAAAAGCAGACCTATCATTTCAGGTTTTTGAAAACATTTTGCAGAAATTTTAAGTAAAAATTTAACTTATATGACCATTCATTCTATAAATGTTAATGATGAATGGGATATTCTAAAGCAAAATGTAGTAATTGAAACATTGTTTCTTATGCTAAACGGACTGGGGATTTTTTTCTCAAGGAGAACAGATCTGTTTTAAGCACACGCCCTATTAGGGTCAGATGTGAATGGTCTATATGTATCTGTATAAGAATAGAAGGATGCTTTGGTAAAGATCACACACACACACACACAAACCCCAATATTAAAAATGAAATATAAATTATATAAGTCTACCATATTGAATAATCTCACATTTGTAAAAACATTAGGAAAACATTTAAATATTTATAAACTAATGGATAGAAAGGGAAACAATACCAAAGACATAAAAACAGCATACTACAGGGACACAGCCACATCAATGTTTATAGCAGCACAATTCACAATAGCTAGACTGTGGAACCAACCTAGATGCCCTTTAATGGATGAATGGATAAAAAAAAAATGTGGCATATATACACAATGGAATATTACTCAACACTAAAAAATAACAAGATCATGGCATTTGCAGGGAAATGGATGGCATTAGAGCAGATTATGCTAAGTGAAGTTAGCCAATCCCTAAAAAAACAAATGCTGAATGTCTTCTCCAATATAAGGGAGGTGACTCAAAATGGGGTAGGGAGGAAGAGCCTGAGAAGAAGATTACCTCTAGATAGAGAAGAGAGGTGGGAGGGAAAGGGAGGGAGAAGGGGAATTGCATGGAAGATGGAAGGAGACACTCATTGTTACACAGAATACATGTATGACAACGTGAGGAAAAAGAAAAAAAAATTGTGTCACATTAGATTGGGTAGAGAGAAGTGATGGGAGGGGAGGGGAGAGGAGGGGAAGGAGGGAATGGAAGAACAGCAGAATAAAATAGACATTATTATTGCTGTGGGTATATACGTGACTGCATGACCAATGTGATTCTGCAACCTGTACACTCAGAAAAACGAGAAATTATACCCCATCTGATTCAAATGTATGATATGTCAAGATCATTGTACTGTCATGTGTAACTAATTAAAACAAATTAAAAAAAAGAAAAGGAAACAATACTACACATGTGATAGCAAGAAACATAAAACAGCTCATTCCCTCTGAATTATTTGTTCTCCATCAATATCTCTGAGATCTATTCTGGGATAAGAAGTGAATTTGCAAATGCATCTTCATGCTATAATGTGTCATAGAGAAAACAGGATGGCAAGTTGCGGAAGCACAATGAATGAGGAGTAGGGCATGGAAGGATGTTTCTTTTTGAAACAAGGGAAAACAGAGAGAAAGCTATGTGTTTCTGCATGTGTATATGTGTATGCTGGTATGTACCACTGTGGGCCATGGGGATGGGTTAAGAGAGTTATGTTTGCTTTAAATAAGTGTATTTATTTAACTCTGAAAACAAATTAGACAAATTGATTTTGTCTTTATTTCAACCATATACTAATTAACTGATGTGCAGAGAATGTAAGTACAGCTCTCAGTTGGCAGGGCACTCTGAACTCTATTTGAAGCTTTTCATGCACTTGAGGAAAATGGTCAGATTGTATCTGATTACCCATCATACATTCTCCTACTCAGAGGCAAAACAAATGGGAAAAGATCTACCTAGAGAGTAGTTGCTCTTTAAATGGAAGAAGAAAGTTCACCATCAACCACATGAAGTTTTCGGCTTCAAAATGTGCAGGAGTGAGTCTTGGGACATGTGGAAGAAGGTGATCCCTTCCACATCTGGAAGCACTTGGTGACTGTCATTTCCTGAGCACAAATGCCTTTTCTGTTTTCCCTCCCCCTATCACTCTTCCGAAGTACTTTTTCATGCCTTCATCTTCTTCTAATTGTCTCAATATGTGGAGAAGATTTGGGTTTCAACAGTGACAATGTTAGGTGAATTATTTCTACTGTAAAATATTTAAATTGGATAAAATATTTTTATAAACATATCACATTTTGCAATTGACATAATACATTTCATAAGCAGAAAATACAAACTTATTGTTTTCTTTTTCCTCTCTTTGTTTTTAATTTGTCTAATGCATGGCAGGAAAAAAATAAGGAGACACATAAATGTTTAGGATATAAAATTTTAAAGGAGAGAAATATCGTTTTGTTTATTTGCTTGGGTATTTGTTTTTAAAACTACAATGGCCACAGCTACTAGAATTTGCTTTGATCTTGTACCACTAGAAATGATTTATTTATATACTCTAATTTAGTGTTCTCCTTAAGGTGCACTGAATCCAGATTTTAGATTTGTTTTCTCTTGACCACTAAAGAAGAGAGGTTCTTGATAAATCACCAAGGGTTCTGATTTTGCCTCTGCCACTATTTCAAAGATTTGGGACATAGCATGATATTTGTGAGACTCTGGTTGTTCACCAATAAAGTACAGGAATTGGATCAAGATCTCAAAGGCCTCACAATATATACTTTAAAAAAAATTAAGCATCCACTGCTTTTGTAATTACTGACAGAAACCCACATATACTGAGAGACTGTTCTACATCAACACTGGGGTGTTTATTTTTGTGCAAACAATGCTTTACATCTCTCTAAAGAGGCATTCACACAAAACTTTACATATAATTGGCCCCAAGGTATTATGAGTATTAACAAATATTTTAAAGTATCTGTACTCTGGTAGAAAAAAATCTGTAAATGAGTATAAATTATAATATTTTTTCCCTCTAAAATCCAATACAATGGAGAACAAAGTAATTGGTGCTTTCATGAGTTTAACTTTAAACAATTGATTTGGAAAAAGAATCTTTAAAAATCCTTGTAACAACTAAAATTATATGGCATAATTAAAACCAAGGGAATAAGCCAAATTAAATTTACTATTTAGTATGCTTCTCTTCTTTAGGTTATTCATACCATCAGTGCCACAGATAAAGATGATTTTGCCAATGGACCAAGGTTTAACTTCTTTCTCGATGAACACCTATCTATCAACCCAAACTTCACCCTTAAGGACAATGAAGGTGAACATAAATATATTTTTTTCTGTGTGTTTTTTGCTATGACTTAATATGGAAGATGCCTGATTAGTTTTTCTTTATTCTTATATACCCACAAACAGCTTGAAAATCAGCATTCAGTGTCAAGTTGATGTCAATGTGTTACAATCTGTGAATAGCTTGTATTTAAAATTGAGCCATATGTACAAATAGTTTTCTTTGAATTTATTCAGAAGCATTCCTTTAAACAAGAAATACACAAGTAATATGCTCTTGGGCAAATTTTAAGAGAAATCTAAGCTGACAAAAATGTTTATGCGAGTTGCTACAACTGCTAGGAGGTAAAAATATTTAAATTAGAAAAAATGAAAAATATATTCTAGAGACAGTTATGAATGGAAATGCAATGTTTGAAATCATCTATATTATCAAAGCTATCAGGAAATATATGCTGGGGAAATTATATTTCCTTTTGTTGTTAGGAACATTTTCCAGAGTATAGGTGGAAATATGCATAATTGTGAGGTGTTATGGAAGTTTTAAAAATCATTTTTGTTTAATATTCTGTATTGAGGGGAGGAATAAATACCATAATTTAGTAACTAAGAAGATTCATCATTATTTGGATATTTTATTTGGTGGATTCCTCATAATCTAGACAAATAATAAGCCATTCAGTTTGTGTAGCTTTCTAATTAGCATCAACATTTTCCTCCAAATTAACTTTTATCATGATTTTTTTTTTCGTGCTGGGGATTGAATACAAGGGCACTTAAGCACTGAGCAACATCTCCAGCTTTTTTACTTACATATGTATTTATTTATTTAGTTAGTTTAAGACATAGTCTTGCTAAGTTGCTTAGGGTCTTTCTAAATGGCTGAGGCTTGTCTCCAACTTGTGATCCTTCTATCTTAGGATCCCCAGTCTCTGGGATTGCAGGCATGCACCATCATACATACTGATCATATTAATCTGGGTACTGTTGAGATTTAATAATTGCCTCAAATTGACATGAAGGAAAATGTTACATAAATTGTGGAATCAACATTTAATTTTCTTTTGGTACACTTCTACAAAAGCATTTTTGCCATTATCCTTGAGTGTCTTTAAATTTTACTAATGAGTATATACTACAATGTGAATGCAGCCATAGGGTTCATATGAAATACACATCTTCATTGTCTCTCCCATTTTAAGTAGCCTCATGGTCTACTCTGCTTATAAGGATATATATTTGTTTAGGATAAATTGCATTTAACTCATCATTGTAAATTTACTTACATCTGAACATCCTATGCTATAATCCACACATGTTTAGTATATAAACATGTGAATTTAAAAAAAAAATTCAGATTTTCCTGCATTCCAAATAAATATATAATTGGAGGTAGCATTTAACTTTCTGCCTTAGTAGACTGAAATCATATTCCTTCAAACTATGCACTCATTGTTGAAAGGATATATGTGTGATTTCTTAAGCAACTATTTTGTTCAAGCAAATGAATGCTTAAACTGGTTAATCTTTTTCAAGTGAGAGGAGCCTGTCGACAGTTGTATAAGGATGTTTTAAAATATTTTAAAAAATATCTTATAGCTTTTGAGGGTTCAATAAATTATAAATAATAAACAATTTACCTTCAGTAGAAAAAAACAGTAATTCTCTTTAAAAATTGTATTAATGCATAGTTTAAAATGTGCTTCAGCAGAATGTCTTGGTTGCACTATAAAAGCTGAACTGCTTAACCTCTTGAGCCTCAGTTGTGACATGGATTATTCATAATTAGAAATACTACTAAGTCACCTTAGAAGAACTAATTGTATATAAATGAATTAGAATAATATAGTTTATTCACAAAGAAGAAAATTATTAATAATAGTGTAAAATATTCAAATTAGAAATCCAATACTCCTGTAACTGGGGTGCTTGAGCATTATATTATATGAATTCATAGACATTCACAGGCCCCTAGAACATAAAATTCAGTCCAGAAGAAAAAAAAAAAAAACTTAAGACCATTATGTTTTTGAGCCTACTGCTTAAATGAAAGTGCATATTCAGAGACACAAAAGAAAGCACACACAGTCCCCAAGCCAGGGCATCTAATTAGAAAGCCATATTTTAGCAACGTATCCAAATACTTTATGGAAAGGATGAGGTAAGAAACACAGATATATCCAAACAGCAGAGAAAGAAATGTATATTGCTGTGTATGATAAAGATGAAGAATTTTAATTTTCAATAGGGAGTTAGATTAAAAAATATATATCAAAAAATAAATTCACTCTAAGTAACAAAGATACTCATAAATGAAAAGCATTTCAATAGAAATATTTAGTGTTCTGAAAATAAAAACAGAAAATAAAGAAATAATATCTTTATTCAAAGAAAAAGGAATTAGCTGGGCACAACTGTAATCCAAACTACTTGGGAAACTAAGTCACGAGCATTGCTAGTTCCAGGCCAGCCTCAGCAATTTAGCAAGACACCTGTCACAAAAAGTAAAATAAAATAAAAAACGTTGTGGATGTACCTCATTGACATAGAGCCATCAAAACTAACATACAAACAAAAACAAATCAGAAATTCTTCAGATAAAATGAGAACAATTATAGAAGACAAATATATGTATAAATAATTGGAAAATATTTATCAAAATAAGAATGAAGTTTCTAAATGTATTGTAAACTATATAAAACTACATGGAGAAGGATATAGAAATTTATATATATAAATTTTATGTAAATTTTATGTAAATTTATATATATATAAATTATATATAAATATTTTATATAATTTATATATATAAATGATATATAAATTATATATAATATTTATATATAATGATATATATATATTATCATTTATATAAATGATAATTTATATATTTTATATATATAAAATATATAAATTATCATTTAATAGTAAATTATCATGTGTGTATAAGTATACATATTTTGATGATATATCCATGTGCATGTATACATAGACTATATATCAATTATAACTATATTCATTAAATATATAGGAATTATGAATAACTAAGTAAATAATTAATAAATTTGAAATATATGGTTAGGAATAATACAGATGAAATTCAGAAATGTGGTCAACTGTGGGTGGAAATGAGAAGTGAAATCAGGTGGATATTTATGCAATGTCTTATTTTTCTGAGACATATCTAAACAAAAGTAGCATTATAATATATATAAAGTTTGAGTGGTAGTATTTTCTTTTAATTTCTGTATGAGTGAAAAGTTTCACTAAAATAACTAAAGCATGTTTGTAGCACAAAATAGGAACTCACTTACTCAACTAGTGTGAACCTGAACACTATTTATGTCAGTTTCTCTAAGTGTTGATCTCTTCACAAGTATAGTCAGGATCTATTTCCTGCCCTCAAAAACATCTCATGTGATACAGTGATCACACATGGAATGGTACAGAGAATAAGCATGATGCACAGTAAGGACAGATAAGATATGTGCCTGTTCTGGAATAAGATGAGTGAAATTTATCAGAATAAGGGCAGTGGCTAAAAGTTTTAGACAAAAGATTGGAAGTCACAAGGTCCTAAGGTGGGAAAAATCACGGGAGTAGACCAGGATTAAAATTTCACATGATGTCAACAGCTATAGAAAGTGGACATAAAATTAAGAGGTGGTGAAAGGGGCAGGCTGTAGTCACTTTCACAGTTTCTTAGACTATGGAAATAAATCTTCCAGTCTTCTCCATTTTTATGATTTCAATCATAACTGCATGGAAAGTATGGAAACTATTTAAGGGAAACACTGTAATTTAGTGTGTCATGCCTTAAGACCTGAAGATTTTCCTCTTCGTGAATCACAGTACCACAACTTCTTCAAATGTTTATATCCTCTCCTCAGAGTGCTTATATGAGACAACAATTTTCCATAGTTGGTGTGTTAGTCATCTTTTCTATTGCTGTGACCAAAAGACCTGACAAGAACAATTTTAGAGGAGTCGAAATTTATTTTGGTTCTCAGTCTATAGATGGCTTTCACCATTCCTAGGGTTTCAAGGTGAGGCAGAGCATTATAATGGAAATGTGTGGAGGTGGGGAGCATCTCTGAACGTGGTGACTAGGAAGCAGAGAGAGAGAGAGAGGGAGAGAGGGAGAGAGAGAAAGAGAGAGAGAGAGAGAGAGAGAGAGAGAGGGAGAGAGGGAGTTCCCAAAAGGCACACCCCCAGGGAACTAGAGTCTCAGCCACACCCTACCTACCTACAATTACCACCTAGTTAATCCCTATCAGGTGATTAATGTACTGATTATGTTAAATCATTCATAACCCAATTCTTTTACCTCTAAACTGTCCTTATTCAATCTCACACAAGCTTTTGGAGGACATTACACAACTAAACTATAAAACCTGGCATTCATCCTTTCCTGCCTTGCAAGCAAAAGCATTAATTACCCTTTGGTTCTAGACTACAGCTTCTAAAATATCTGTGTAATAAATAGCCCTGGAAGGTACGGGATGCCTTTTAAGAACAAAGGATATTTTTATTTACTCTGCAGTTGAATGAGGATAAGGACTTCTTTAAAACACTTTTTGGGCATGTTTGCTTGCAATTCATTACAAATGATCTATGATTTCCAAACTCAAGATTCTTTAGCAGGCATACAAACTCATTGTGTGCACACAGTGCTCCTGGACTCTTGCACCTCACTATTTTCACCCTAGATTGCTAGGGAATTTATATGAACAAGTGTCTATGCTGTTGATGTGGACATGAGGAAAAATTCCTTCATCTCTGCTCCAGGAACATGTGTCCTCCCCAGTCACCTTAAATTATGGTAGGTTAATTTATTAGCTTGAAAGCTGAACAAAATCTCAGATAAGACCTTTCACAATTATTAATACATCATTGAACTAAACTGTACTAGAAACTTCTGTAAAAGCATCTATATATTTATAACTTATTAATATGTGTATACTATGCTAATTCCAGAGGCAGACATTTAGAGTATTTATGCCTAGTAACAATAAGGTAGCTAATTTC